GCTATCTAGTGATCTTCCTTCTTGACATGCTCACCAAGGGACCTGACTTAATCCTCCTCTCCTTTCCCACCCCTGACACCTACCTGGGGAACTTCAGCATCTCACCTGTTCACCCAGATTCATGCCTCCAGGGACCCCTTCACTCACTCTCAGATACCCTCCACGAGTCACACATCTGGACCTTGTCACCCCCCGAATGGTTCTATGTCGGACTCTTATGCACTCATCTCCTACCCTCTGACCACAATCCTTCACTGCCCTTCCACTTCAACCCAGGGCACCTTTTCAATGTCCCTTCACTTCATCCACCTCCTCCCTAAATTACCTTCTCTCTCCTGCCCAGATCCCAGGGCCTTCACCTTTGTCTTCTCCTTTCACAGCACCTTCCACACCCTCAAGTCCTCATCCTTTGCCCCAGCAGACCTCACCTCTGAAACCAGCTCCCTTCTTTCCTCCTTCATTCCCAGACCCCAGCCTCATCAAGGCTTCTGTGTTGTCAGCAAGCCTAGTCTTTCACTTCAATGCCTACACCCCTCACTGTCCAAGGTCCTTCATTCCACCCACTCCTCCTCCTCAGAAAACGTCCTTCCTCCCCACTGCACAGGGGACACACGAAGCCATCACACGTGCACGCCCACACTTCCCTGCCTCCCCCGTACCACTTGCACCTGACTGAGAGCCGGTCCCCTCCACCATCCCAAGGATGCTGCTCCAGTGAGCACCCACTCTGCTCCTGGTTCATCTAACCTGCTCCCTCTTCCCTTCAGCTTATGAACATGCTCAAGGCCCCCCTACTTTTAGAAGTTCAGCCCTTCATCAACCTTGCTTCTTTTCCCACAGCCTTCTCAGGTCCTCAGCCAAGGGCTGTCTCTCCAATCCCAGCTCTCCACTTCCCAGCTATGCAACCTTGAGGTTGTTCCTATACCTCACCAAGCCTCCAATGGGGACGATAATACGGCTACCGTGGAAAGTGAATGAGAAGGTAACTTTACAACATGCTAGGCCTAGAGCCTGGCACACAGTAAACACTCAATAAATGTTAACTAATACTATCACCTGGCTCATAGAGACCAGCACACAACGGTATTATGACTACCCCTCAACTTCCTTTTCTTTCACAACTAGCCTAACCTTCTGGAAGATGAACTATCTCTACTTCGTCACTTCTTATTCGTTAACAAGCATAACTTGGCTTAGGATACTCTGAACTAGGGTACTCACTCACCTGCAATCAGTAAGGTCACCAATGATCTCCTAACTGCCAAATCCAACACTTTCCCTTACAACCTCACTTATGGCCTGAAAATACAGCCCACTCCCTCCTTTTTGAAACCCTAACTTCCCTTCCCTTAGTGTCCAAAACACCACTCCCTGGTTTCCTTCCCGCCTCTCCGACCACTCCCTTTCTGCCTCCTGCGGCTCCCCTTTGCCCACCTGTCTTCTTACAGGACTCTAAGGCTCAGACGCCCTTCTCCCCTCTCATTTCATAGTCTCCTAGGGTGTTCAAGTACACACCTCTCCACTCCCTCACTCCTCCGTAGCCTACTTCTTCCAGGGCTTCAGACCTACTGATCTAACTGCCTATTGAATGTCTCTATCTGGAGATCCCAGAAGCACCTCAAACTTCGCTCCAACTGAACTCATTAGCCTCCTTCCTACTGCTGGCTCTCCTGCTTGAGTTTCCATTCCTGGGAAGTTTAACCAAGTCATTCTATTTCCTGAGTTTCTTCGAATCTTCATGCCCACCTCATGGAACCTCACTGTGACCCCTTAATAGGAAGGAGACCATCCTTTCTCACTTGTGTAGCCAAACATCTCGGTCTAGCCCTGTAAACCACTCGCAGGCATGTCATTCAACTCTGTCAGGCTGTAAATATCTCCAAGGGGGAAGTGACAGGAGATAGTGACTCTCATCCAACTTTGTGTACTTCTCCAATAAAGTCACAGACTGGTGCACAGTTAACCAATGCTGGCTGCACGGCTCCCACACAGACAGACAGAGACCACGCGGACAGCCGTGCACGACCCACCTGCAGGTCTGGCAGGCGACCTCTCCTGCTCAGGGCGGGGCGGGACTGGGGAGCCGGCACCTCTCTCTGGCTCGGGCTCTTCTACAGGTGCTGGTAGAGGTGCTGGGCCCTCTCTGGGGGGCGAGGAGGCCGAGGGTTTCGTGGCTGGCTGCTCCTCTTCCTCTTCTTCTTCTTCAGAGGACTCAGATGAGGAGGAGGAGGAGGATGACGACGACGACGAGGAGGATGAGGAGGACGAGGAGGAGCTGGGCGAGCTGCTGCTCTCGGAGTCCGACAGACTATCATTTTCGCCATCTGAGTCAGCATACAGAGAACATTTGGAGGACAAATCGCTTTCCTCGTCCTCGCCTGAAAATCCAGAAGGGGCAATCAGGCGAGGCGGGAAGACCCCTCACTCAAGCCCTGGGTTCATTCGCGGACCTACCACAATGAATGGGTTAGGCAGGCTCTATGCTAGGTGCTGACAGTCCAATATAAATGGAACAGAAGTCCTACCCTCAAGGAGGTGGACAGACAACTTGCTCAGTGTGACAGACATCAGTATCAGGGAGAAGATGAGCGTGGAGAAAGGAAGCTCTGAATTCTGCCTGGAGAATGGAGTCAGGGAAGGAATCCCTGAGAAAGAGATGTTGAAATCGAGAAGGGCAAGGAGTCTACCATGCAAACAAAGGCGCTACGCAGGGACGTCAGAGGCAAGCAGGCAAGAGAAGACAGGCATCTGGAGAGCGGCAAAAGTCTGCTCTGACTACAGACCAAACCCAGCCCAACCCACTGCCATCGAGTCGATTCTGACTCACAGCAAGCCCCACTGGGTTGCCAAGGCTGTAACTCTTTACAGAAGTAGACTGCCTCATCTTCCTCCTGTGGAGTAGCTGGTGGGTTTGAACTGCTGACTTTCTGGTTAGCAGCCAAATGCCTTACTCACTATGCCATCGAACTCCTTTCTGACTACAGAAGTTTCTCCCCAAAGTGGCTCTGGATGACGGACTGTGTGAAGAAAGAATCCCAGGGTAAATTAAGCTTAGACAACAAAGACATGTCATATGCCTCTTGGAGGCTGGTAACACATACGAGGGTTCTTAGAAATCCTACAAAGTACCTTGTTTAACTCTAATCCAGAATCTCCCAAACTTGCTTCCTCAAGGAATGAACTTTGCAGTCTTTGAAAAACATAACTGGATCAATTAGAACACAAGGTGGTAGTGGCCAGAAGGGAACTAGAGGATGGCAAAACAAGAGCCGAACAGAATAAAACAGGGGCTAGATTCTAAACAGCCATAGCAGAAATGCCAGGCTGATACTGTGTGGCGAGTAGTGACTGGGATCTTAAAAGCTTGCAAGCAGCCATCTAGATGCAACTATGGGTCTCGCCTCATCCAGAGCAAAGAAGAATGAAGAAAACAAAAAATTCATGGAAACAATTAGTCCTAGCGACTGGTATACCATCCGATCTGCAGCCTATACAACTATGAGACCAGAAGAACTAGATGGTGCCCGGCTACCACTGTCAACCACTTGGAAAGTGATCTATATAGGAGATCCTGGATAGAGAGGGAGAACAATGTGGAATAAAACTCAAAATCATTTGGAGAAAAAAAAAGGGGGGGGGGGACCAGGTTTGCTGGTCTGTCAGAACCCCGTAGAACCACTGAGACTATGGCCCCTAGCTACCCTTCAGGTCTGGAACTGAACCCACACCTGTGACTTCCACCCAAACAAAAGACAAGCATATGAGTTGAACATTTACCTGAGGTAGATACACTCCTTGGACAGATCAATCATGAGAGAAAGAAGGGCTGCTTATACACAGGAAGACAGCTTAGGGGACAGGAGTGTATGGAGAGATGGACACAGGGAAGAGGTAACTATGGGGAGGAAGTGGGAGGGGAGCTATTGCACTGGGGTAAATTGTAGTCAATGTCATGAGACAAAATGCATGTGAACTACTGTATGGAAAGTGAATTTGCTCTGTGAATTTTCACTCAAATCACACACAAAAAAAGAAATGCCAGGCTGAGAAGGCTGCTTACTCTGTGAACAGAGAGCCAGGACAAGACGTGAAGGAGAGAAGGAAGAGAGTCAGATGTGCATTTCAGGAGAGATGATGCTGTCACCAGCTGGAGAACGGATTGGAGTGTGGTGGGAAGGACGGAACAGAGCCCGGGAAATGAGTCTAGAGGGCCCCAAGAATCTAAGTGAGACGTGAGGAAGGCCTGAATGAAGGCAGAGCGGCAGGAACACAAGAGCCAAATTCAAGGACCATGCAGGAGGTGAGACCGATGGGAATGGTGACCAAGTGCGTAAGGGTCTCAAGCCCTCCACCCCGTTCACTCTTAGATGACCTTCCTCCCTACTTCATTGAAAAGACAGGCCGCCAGCTCACCATTTTCACCATTCTGGCCTGTGCTGAAAAGGCCCCTCTTGAACTCCTATGTTGTCGTTATGTGCCATCGAGTCGAACCTGACACATAGCAACCCGTCCTTGGGTTTCCGAGGCAGTATCACTACGGAAGTAGATTGCCCAACCTTCCTTCCGAGGAGTGGCTGGTGGGTTCTGGTTAGCAGTCAGGTGCTTTAGGCACTATGCTACCAGAGCTCCTTGAACTCCTATATACAAGGGTAAACCTTTCCACAACTCCCCAGACTACATTCTCTACTTCATTCATCTACTTTACATTCCTCAAAGCATGCACTTCTACCTGAAGTGACACTCACTCACTCATCACATCTTCCTCATCTCCCCAAATAATCACAAACTCTACAAAAGCACCACATCTGTTTGGTCACTGACGTGTTCCTAATACGTAGAGCAATGCCTGACACAGAGTAGGGACTCAACGTGTATTTGTGAACAAATGGATGAAAAGGAAGGTTCAATCAGTACCCAAGACCTCCATGAATGTGGAAGAACGATAGGTTTTCAACAAGAGGACCCAGCAGCGTCTGCCTCACAGCAGCCATGGGTACAGAAAGGAAGCGAAGCTTAGTGCCATGGGCCTCAAAGGAAGAGTGCCTGAAGGTGGAAAGGTACTGTCAGGAAGCATCGAGAGGTGGCAGGACAATGCAGACTCCTTGTCGCGAGAGCTCAGGAAAATAAATGTATGGAAATACATCTTTCCACACAGAGCCAGGCTTTGGCAGAAGCAGAAGGGAGCACTGAGGATACTGAGCTTATTGTTCACAAAGGGTCAACGTTCCAAAGGATGGCGCTAAAAGACAGTTGCTCTCGGGGTGGGCGAGGTAGTCAATAAAGCCAGCAGGAGAATCCTACGGGCTCAGGAAAGGGCCAGCCAGGTGCTGCCTGCCTTCCTCCCCCAGCCAGCACGCTATCCAACCTCCCGGACTCACCATCTGATGTCACTATCTCTTTCTTATTGGTATCCATGGCTTCCTCTCGGTCTTCATCCTCTTCATCTTCCTCCTCCTCCTCCTCCTTAAAGAAAGGGATAAGTGGGGGTGAACAGGAAAGGGACAACTGCTCCTCTAGGAGGCGCAGCTGCCAGGGCCCTAGCCTGGAGAGAAGCTAGCGAGGCGGACGGGGACTCAGGAAGCAGGCGTTCAGCACGTGCCCGCAGCCCTGGCCTCACCTTCTCTGAGGAGGACTCCTGGGACGCCTCCTCCCCTTCGCTGTCCAGGGCAAAGGACTCCCGGTGCTTGCCCGGGGCCTTGCCTCGGTCTTCATCTCGCTTTGGGGGCTTGGTTCCCGGACGTCCTGGCTCTCCAGCCTCCTTCTCTCGCTCGGGGTCTAGGCCCAGGTGAGCAGTAGTTACAGTAATTTACTATCAATCGTAATAGTCACTGTTCCCCTACCCAATGCGTGGAGCTTTATGTGCACTATTGCTAAACTCTTCCTGACAGTCTGACAGACCAGACCTCATGTTACAGAAAAGGAGAGGCTCAACAGAGAAACACCAACACCTCACTGTTACCTAATGTTCTACACGGCTTCAAACGTATCCCCATCTGTCTTATCTGCCTTCTTTTTGGGAAAGGTGAGAGAGAGAGAACTGACTTCTTATATTGGGCCCAGGAAAACAGTACTAAGGCCAGTGGGTCTGCAGAGAAGCAGATGTGACTGCATAGTTTTCCAGCCATCTAAGGTGTCAACCAATACTCAGACTCAGACGAACTGGTAGGAAGCTGACAGGAGGGTTTAAGCATCAGATGGTAAACTTGGGTACCTGGTCTGTCTAACCTCAAGTTTTTGTGACTTTAGATGCTGAAGCTGTTATTTCTATGTTACGGGTGAAACCACTGAGAAACAAAGAGCTTAAGTCAGCACACTGAGATAAAACCCACTGCTCAAGCCAGACACAACCTACCTGATGGCTCTCACCACTCACAACTGCTCTATTTTACCCTGTGCCAAAATTTTCACTTGGCTCCTTATCCCCAAGACACCCTGACCACCCCTTTGTCCCTGCCTTGTTTCCATCCTGGAATCTACACAGCTTGTCGCCTTTCTCCTGACCTCCCACTCACCATCTTCATCTTCCTCCGCTGGGGTGGAGGGCCGGGGCCTCTTTTCCTCGCTGGCTTCAGAAATTTCTGATGGCTCTTTCCGCTTTACCTGAGGTATGAGGAATAGATGGCGCCAGTTTCAAACACTCATGGTTCCTGACCATCCCTACCCCAAGGAGGGAAACCCCTCACCCTTCTCCCCACCCCACTCAGCAAGGCCACAGTTTTGGGTACCTTGAAGGAAGGCAGCCGCAGGGCCCCCCGTAGCCCTGACCCAAAGGCGAAGGCCTCGATGCCTGTGGTACCCCCACTCTTGGCCCAGTCTACGAGGGACAGTAGGCCTGGCTCCTTAAGCTTCATCTTCTCTTTATCTTCTTCCTTGGCTTGCTGTTTGGCTGCATTCTGGAATGGCTGTAGGCAGCAGGGGGTCTAAAGCCCGGAACCCAGGTGCTCCCTCCTATCTGAATGCTACGTCCGGGCCCCAAGAACACATAAACGTGTCTACTTGCTTCTCCACCTGACACGTGTCTGCATCACACATCCCCTCATACTAGCCCCCATGCGGGCATTTCCTCAACAGCTGACTCATAAACCCATCAACCTTATGAAACAGCTATTGCTATTCCCACTTTAGGAGCTCTGGTAGCATAGTGACTAAAGCACTTGACTGCTAACCAGAAGGCTGGCGGTTCAAACCCACCAGCCACTCCTCGGAAGGAAGGTTGGGCAATCTTACTTCCGTAGTGATACTGCCTCGGAAACCCAAGGAGGGGTCGCTATGAGTCGGAGCCGACTCGATGGCACATAACAACAACAACATTCCCACTTTACGAGTGGAGAACGTGAAGACTGAGGCCTAGAGACTTAAGGGCCTCGTCCACAGAAAGCAAGCACTGGGCCAGGACAAAGCTCTGACTCTCAGCACTGTGCTTTCTCTATGCTGGGCTCTCCCGGCCCAATCTCCCCACCCAGCCAGTATGGCCCTGTGTGCCCATGGTGTCTCTCTACCACCTGCCTCAATCCCCCTATTTCCAGCTGTGCAGCCTCAAGAAGCCAGAGGTCTGCTTCCTCCAATGGCGCCCCAGCTTCCCCAGTCCCAGGTCCTGGCCCTCACCTTGGCCTTCTCCTCCTTGCTCTCCCACCACTGGTCAAAGGCTCCAAAGGCCACGTTCTCCACCATCTTGCGGTTGAGGTCGCGCTGCATGATGCTCTTCATCTCCTGGATGAGGGTGGCCAGCACACGGCCCACGGTGCCTGCTGACGGAAGGGCCTTGCCCTCTGCCAGCTCCGCTTCCTCCCTGGGAGGCAGCCGGGCCTCCTCTCCCAAGACTGAGGAGGGTAGGGGCTCGGCTGCCACAGGCAAAGGCAGGTGGTAGGCCTCCCGGGAGTATGCCCCTCGACCTTCTTGCCCTTGTGTATACAGAGCATAGGGCAAGCCATAGGCTGCCTCTTGGGGGGGTGCAAATGGTAGGAAAGCCTCCGCAAAGGCCCCACCAGGGGGACCAGCAGAGGCTGCAGTTAATCCCTTGCCCTGCCGCAGCTGGTGGAGCCGGGTCAACATCTGAGTCTGCATCTGGAAGGACATGGGCATCCCTCCCCACTGAGCCCCAAGTCGATCCATGAGCTCCAGGGAGTTCACAAAGTCATAGATGTGGGGGGGCGGTGGAGGAGGTGGGGGGTACTCGGGGGGAGGTGGACCATCAGGTCGGGGTGGGAGGAGGTAGGCAGGTTGGTGGGGAGGGTAACCAAGAGGAAGAGAAGCCAGGTAAGGAGGGGGAGGAGGAGGGGGAGGGGGAGGGGGAGGAGGCTGCTGAGGAGGTGTTGGGGCTGGAGGGGGTGAGCCACCCCTGTCGTCATCGGAGATCTCCATGTCCTCTCCAGAAGAGCATGGAGAAGCCTGTAGGGGAGTAGACACGGGTCACGGAAGGCTTCTGCCCGTTCCCTGGCTTCTCCTCAAATCTGTTATCCTGGCCACAACCCTCCCCTCTCCTTCAGAGGTCAACCCTGCCTCCCAGACCCCAGCCACCTCTGCTGGCTGAGACCCCAGCCTCACCTCGTTCTGTCCATTGGCCTTGGGAGACTCCCTGGCAGCCCCTGGTTCACCACTCCCTGTAGGTGCCACATCTTCAAAATTGACCGGGGCTGGAGGTGGTGTGCAGGGCCCGTGACCTGACCCAGAAGGCACCTCACTCCCTGTGTCTCTAGCCCCAGCACCTGCACTATTGTTATCCTCCTCTTCCTCCGTGTCAGAGGCCAAGAAAGAAAACTTGGAGCGCTGCTCCTTCAGCAACATTTCGATGCGAGAATCCAGGCTGCTGTGTTGAGCGAAGGGCACACTCTCATTGGTCGTCTCTGGGGCTGGGGAGCCGGAACGGGCAGGTGAGGCTGGGTGCGGGGAGGAACGGGCTTCTTCTCTCTCAGGGCTGGGACCGCTGCCATCTCCACCTCCACCAGGTTCTGGTGGCTCCGGGGGCGGAGCCTCTGAAGCTGGAGGCCGATAGTCCTGGTCAGTGGGCCGGCTGGGCTCAGGGGGCAAGTAGGAGGTGTAGGAAGGTGGGAAGCGCTCAGCTGTGTTTTCAGTAAAAGGGGCCCCGGGGGGCTCCTCCCGAGTTGCCCGACGAGCTGGGTAGGAAGCATGGCGCTGGTAGCGATTCCAGCTTTCGTAATACGCTGGGTAGTTTGAGTCAGAACCACGAAAATGAGAAGACGAGGAGGAGGAGGAGGAGGAGGAGGATGAGGACAATGACGAAGATGAGGAAGAGGCTGTGGAGGTGGCTGCAGTGGTGGCTGAGATGGCCGCAGAGGTGGTCGTGGGGGCCGAGGAAGCAGAGAAATGGCGACGGGAAAAGGAATCTTGGTAGCTGTTCTCCGACCGCCGGGGCTTGAAGGAGGTTGAAGTAGTGCTGGAGAAGAAGGGGGACAGCTGGCTGGACCCATCTCCACATGACCAAACCCTGGTGTCCCGGTTCTCAGGACCCAAAGCTCCTCAGTAAGGCCCCCTCCCCTCTAAGGACGATCTCCGTGCTGTTGGGTGCCCAGCCTACGGCGAATTCCCTGAGGACAGGGGCTTGTAAGCTGAACCCACAGAGAAACGAGGACCAGTATTTCCAACTCGCTCTTGGAGAGCCCTTTCCTCCCAATGGCAGCCCCCAGAATCTCATGGCTGGGGGCCCGGGTGGCTGTTCTGTACCTGCTGGAGTAGGCAGAGTCCTGAGAGTAGGGGGTGCTGCCCCGAGACGTGTAAGGGGTTCCTTGGGAGGACTGCGGGGTAAACTGGCCAAAGGAAGACGGGGTGTCTTGTCGGCTGCTAGAGAAGCTTGTGTCCTGGGAGCAGGGGGTGCCGTTGCCAGGGGTCCCCAGCACAGCAGTGCCTGCTGGGTAGGAAGCTGTGTCAGAGGAGGTGCGGCGGCGAGACTCAGTCTGGAGGGAGGGAATGGGACAGCGAAAAAGGAGAAGAGATCAATTACCCTTTGAGAAGTCCTCCTCCTCCAAACCAAGACCTCTGGTTCTGTCTTTCATAAGTCCCTGAGGGGTGCAAGTGGTTAAGTGCTTGGCTACTGACCGAAAAGCTGGTGGTTCGAGTCCACCCAGAGGACCTCAGGAGAAAGGCCTAAAGGTCTATTTCTGGAAGATCAGCCAGTGCAAACCCTACGAAGCACATTTCTACTGACATACACGGGTTGCCGTGAGCTGCAACTCACATTATAGCGATTAGTTTTTCTTTTTTTTTTTTTTAAAGCATCCAGGTACCTTTCCTTGGCTCTTCTGTCCCTAACAGGGAAGTCAAGAATCTCCCAAAGGCTGCTCCTACTCCTGGCACCCAGGTACCATGCCCACATGGCTAGGACCGTGGCAACCACAAGCTTCTCACCGTCTCAGTGGCCGCACTGGAGCCCTGGAACTTCTCACTCAGGGCCTTGCCCCCAGTGGGCACCGTCTGGGGAGTGTAGGAGCCATTGACAATCAGTTCATAGTACTTCATTCGCTGTTGTCCTGGAGGGAGGGAAATGGGAACCAATAGGGTCAAATGGAGAAAACGACTCTTCCTGGTTTTGGTATCCCCGCTTCTTTCTCAGGTATCATGTTTATAGTAATTTCTCAGAGTCTAGGGTTTTGAGACTTCAGTTCTTCTACTTCTGTCCTATCTCTAGATCTTTGTACTTGCCCCAACAGCTACCATACGCATATTGCACAACCTTTCACGATTTACAAAAACACGTCTACACGAGTTACTGTTCTGAACGATCACTGGGAGAGAGAAGCATCAAGAACTCTGTTTGAAGGAAAATGACCTGCACAAAATGACAGCATTGGTCAGTGGTAGAATCGGAATTCAAATCCAGGTCATCTACTGCTAAATCCACCATGTTCCTTCTTCTTCTAGTAAGTTCAAGATTGCATAATGGTAGCTTGAGGGCTAAATCCACCCCATAGCTGTTTTATTTGGCCTACAAATGCCTTAAGAAATTTTTGGAGCCAATACTTTAGAACTATGAGATTTTATACAAAAAATTAGACTTCTGGTTTTTACAAGTCGTTTGGCAGTATCAGTCCTCATTTCCACTTAAAAAAACTAGCTAATGCTAATCCACAGCTGCCTCCTCTACGTGGCCCCATAATGCACACTTCCCACAGCCCCCTGCTCTACTGCTCCTTAACACACAACCACTGAGTGCTTCACCCTAACCCTTACCGAGAACGTCAAACCCAAAAAACTGAGAAGTCAGTGTTTTCAGAAACTGGGTGTAAAAACCTGATCAGAAGCTGTTTGCTATGGTCTTTATAAAACCTACTTAATATAACCCTTTCCCTAGGTTTCCTCACAGGTACTGTCATGTAGCTTAACAACAGGAAGGTACCTTAGACCCTGCCGAAGACAACAACCAAGAGACCGCAGAGTCCATCACTCCTTTCTAAAATTTAGAAAATTTGATTTTAGAAACACACCTGGTCCCAGGAATTTCAGCTAAGGCATCCTGAACCTGCCTACTTGCCTGGCCCCAACAGGCACTGGCGTGCACAATCTCTGCCGGAGATCAACCTTAGGCAGCAAGCAGGGGAGTCCTCACCTTTGATGTCGAGCTGGGCATGGATGATGTTACCCATGACAGAGGTAAGGTGGAGGTTTTTGACCGTTTCCTTGGCTCCCCGAGTGCTGGTAAAGAGCACGCGGGCCAGGCCCAGGTGCTTGCGAGTACGGGGGTGAAGAAGGATTTCTACCTCCTCCACTTCACCATACTTTCGGCACATGTCCTTCAGGAAGGTCTCCCGGACGTTGTCATTCAGCCTTGCAAAGGTCACTTCCTTCAGTGGGATCTGTCCAATATAGAACTCATCCAGCTGTGGAGAGGACAGGAGTTGGTCTGTGGTCTCAATACTGGCCACTGTTCCTTTGCCCTTGAGAAAACTTTAGCAAGATCCATGAGGTCAAGAGAGATGGGGCTGGGAAACTATGGGGCAAGGGAGAAAAACCAGGAAAGGGGCCACAGTAAGGGTCTATGTCAGTCTTGATCCCCTCTCTTCCCTGAATTCTTCCCACCACCAAATAATGGCAAAAACCAAGAAAAGAAACACACAAACCAAGAAATAAACATACTAGCTTACTCCTAGTCATGGAAAAATAACCCATTCTCTCAGACTTTACTATATGATCATCATAGACTGGACGGTAAGCATACAAAGGTGAGGAAAAAGGGATTCCCATTCAGAAAAGTAGACAAAGGTCCCTGGGTGGCACGGGCAGTCTGCACTTGGCTGGTACCCTAAAGGCTGCCGATTAGAACCTGCTCAGTGCTACCACAGAGGAACCACACCTGGCAATCAACTTCCATAAAGATTACAGCCAACCCGATTCCATTAACATGCAGTCTCTCCAAGTGAACACATAACAAACAAATCCCTCAATGGAGTGATGGCTGTTTGCAGAAAAGTAGACAAGACGGATAGACACATACTATCATCCTGTGAGGCAACAAGTGTCAGTAGAGGTGTGGACAGAGGGTTTGGGAGCCCAGAGAAGAAAACTTTTGTTTATAATAGAACCAGAAGAAGAATCATAAAGATGGTATGAGTTGTACCAGGTTTTGTGACAAACCAGAGTCCATCAGGATGACGAGGACTTCTCGGGCACGAACTATAAAACAACTGGTCATTTCCTAGAAACAGCAAGTGTCTGGTATGGATGGAACACAGATTTGTGGTGTCAAGGCAGGAGACAAGGTGAGGCCAGACCAATACCCATATGAGGCAATGCCTAAAAAGGTGGACCTAGCAACAGAGGTAAAGTGAGAGCACAGGAAACTCAAATGGGTAAATGACAGCAGTGTGGAGCATGAAGAGGAGAAGAGAATGGAAACCAGAAAATCAAATGAAATGGGTACAAGGGTAGGCATTAATAAAATAGCAATGGAAAAAGAGAGATTAAAACAGAAAAGTGACATGCTGAAGAAGAAGAGGCAGCAGGCCTCGGTGACAAGGTAAAGGAGAGGGATGGGAGAGGGGCATCAAAGGGTGACTCTTGGGCTTCTAGCTTGTACGGCCGACTGGATGATGGAGAGGGAAAACGGAAGAGCAAGCAGGATTGAGAAAGTAAAGACAACGTGTTTTAAACCTTCTGACTTTCAGGTGCCTGTGGGGCCCCTAACTGGAGTTGTCTTTCCAGCTTACAAATCTCAAGATCAAGACAGTGATCTTGGCAGGAAACAAATATTTGGAAGTCATCAACATTTAGGTGACAGCCGAAGCCACGGGTATGAAAGAGATCGTCTAAAGAAAGTGTCCAAAGTGAAAGAAGAGAAATGAGAGAATCCTATAAACTATTTAAGAAAGAAGAATACAGAATCAGTGAAGGACAGAAACTACAAACAGTTTTCTAGGCTTACTTCAAGGCCTGAGAGTATGCTACTTCGACAGAGACATGGGAGTCCTCTGAGGAAACAAGATGGAGGAGCACATGGCCAAATGAGAGGGGAGAAACAGAAAACACCACGGAGGCGGTGGCCTCGCTACTTCCCTTAGTTGTGGAGGAATTGGACACACAAGCAGAGCGCTGTCATACAATGAACGGTCTAAGAGTGAGAACTTTTAGGTATAAGAGATAAACCCATCTTTAGCTCATCCTTCTAGAAGTCAACACCCCTGCCACCAGGGATGCCTCCCTTATACCTCTCTAGAAGATAACATCCCTACTATCCAAAGTGATCCAGACCCGCTGCCTTAAAAGTTGTTAGACCAGCCGTGACCCTTTCACTGGAAAACCTCTTCATTAGACTACTTTACATCTGGACTACCAGGATGGGTCCTTCACACTCTCCAAGGATCCACCATACCAGGAGACCAGCAGACACATACCTTAAATTTAGGGACTGGGAGGGAAAAGTCTCTGTTTTTGGACCTGACGTGGCAACGGGGGTCTTGAAGATCTTCAACTGGAATATACTTTGAGTCCTAGGAAGGAAAGCAAGAACAGAATGATGGCTCAGACAAAAACCAGGCTGAAAACCCATCTGAGACGCGTATAAAAGAGAGCTGGGTTCTGACTGCCCACTTGTAAGAAGGGAGGCTAGGCTGTAGGTATGGCAGTCCTAGATGCTGGACAGAGGTAATGGAGGAGAGCCTGGCCTGAGTTCCCCAGATGCCAAGCAATAGCTCAGGGCACTCACGTTGACACTGAAGTGGATTCCATCATAGCGGTACACCTTTTGGGAAGGCCTGCGCAAAGCTGGGTCCAACGCAGGATCCACAATGAGCTTATAGTTCCTCCACTGGAAGCTCGGGGCCTTCTGTCCATCTCCCCCACCTTCTTGATCCATCTTCGCTCATTTACACTGTCAGGAAAGAGGAATAGGCATGGAGGGTCAGGACTCAGTCCTGACTCCCTTGATGCCCCTCACCAACTAACCTAGGCTCCAGCTTCACTCATTACCCGTTTCCACACCTCATCAGGACTTGTGGCTTTCTCTGATTTTTCCCCAGGTACCCTCTTTCACCACAACATCCCATTCTCTCTCTACGTCCCAACTCTCCCCTCGGGCCCCCAGGCCCATCTCGCGCCCCCTTCCCTTCCAGCTCTCCCTAGCGCGCGCCCCACTTGGCCTCAGCACAAGACCCCTCCCCCGCCCCCTGGAAAGCCCCGCCCCCTCCCGCCTCCTCACCGGCCAGCGGCCCGGGCCAAGCCTGGCTCCCGCTCCCACACACCCGCTCCCGTCCCCGAGCGCCGATCCTCTGGCCCAGAGGTGGCACCTCTTTGGGGCGTTGGAAACACCGCGAGACCGAGCCCGAGACCCGGCTTCGGCCCCGAATCCGGGAGAGGGGGTGGGGGTAGCGCGCGTCGCTGCCCTCTCCTCCCGCCCCAGCGCGCTTTGCACCCCCCGGCTCCGCGCACGCGCGCC